CCACTCAAGCATTATTTCCTCAGGGAAACCTTCCTTGCCTTCACCTCACCCCCCTCCCTCCATTTAGGCAAAATGCTTCTTTTACAGGATGATGGAGTCATCCCTGCCTTTGTTCAGAACACTTAGTTTCTCAACCTCCATTTGTGAATTACTTGACTGTCTGAGCTGCGTGGGAGCGGGGACCCTGACTGCTCTAAACCCAGCCTTCTGTGCACACTTCCCAGCACGGTGTCGTGGGGTGAGGGGCCATTATCAAATAGTGTAGAAGGAAGGGAGGGACAGAGGGTGTCATCCAAGAGCCAGTCAAGTAGAGGGAAGACAGTAGTGTATTGTAATGCTGTGAGCACAGCATCATGGTGGAGTTATGCCTGATATGTTATGGGAACACAGAGTAGCAGAAGTAACTCGTGGCGTGGGGACAGTGCGCAGATGTGAAGTAATCAGCCAACACCTCTGAAAAGATGACTAGGCATTAGCTACTCAAATAAGAAGGAAATGGCATTCTGGCAGGAGGAAGGGCTTGTACAGAGATGTGGAGGAACCCCATGAGAGGAAAGAACTCAGGTCGCTGTGATTGGAATCAAGGGAGCACGTAGAGAAATAGTAAGAGATGAGGGTGGACAGTTGGGACCTGGAGGGTGGAGAGCCTTGCCTGTTTATTTCCTGTGGAATTTAAATATACCTTGCGAGAGCCAGAGGTGAATTTTGTTTTTTTATTTTTATTTATTTATTTATTTTGAGACAGAGCCTCAAGCTGTTGCCCTGGGTAGAGTGCTGTGGCATCACAGCTCACAGCAACTTCCAACTCGTAGGTTCAAGTGATTCTCCTACATCTGCCTCCCAAGTAGCTGGGACCACAGGTGCCCACCACAACGCCCAGCTATTTTTTGGTTGCAGCTGTCATTGTTGTTTGGCGGGTCCGGGTTGGATTTGAATCTGCCAGCTCAGGTGTATATGGCTGGCGCCTCAGCTGCTTGAGCCACAGGCACCCAGCCAGAGGTGAATTTTACATAGGAAAGTACTATGATCAGATTTGCATTTTAAAATAACTTCTTCAGTCAACCAGAACTCTCATACATGGCTGGTAGCGTTATAAAATGGTATAACCACCTTGGAAAGCTGGCAGTTTCATATAAGGATAAACATACACCTGTCCTACAAACTGACAGTTCTACTCCTAGATATTTGCCTAAAAGACCTGAAAGTGTATGTCCAAAAAAAAAAGACTTAACACAAAAATGTTTCTAGGGGTGGCACCTGTGGCCCAAAGGAGTAGGGTGCCAGCCCCATATACTGGAGGTGGCGGGTTCAAACCCAGCCCCAGCCAAAAATAAAACTAAAAATATATATATATATATTTCTAACAACTTTTTTTATAAGAGCAACAATGGAAGTCACTTGATCTTCCATCAGCAGGTAATAGAAAAACAACTTGTGGTATACCCGTACAGTGGATACTACTCAGCAATGTGGAGGAGAAAACTACCAGTAAATACAATAACCAAAATGAATCTCACAGACATTATGTTGAGCTGAAGAATCCAGACACAAAATAATCCATACCTTGTGATCTCATTTGTAACAGTTCAACAACAGGCAAAACTAATCTATGGTGATAGAAATCAGGACGGCAGTTGCCTCTGGGTGTCAGGAGCTTGACTGCAAAGTCACAAGGGAACTTTCTGGGGGCTGTGGAAATATTTTATATCTTGATTGGGTTGTTGGTTCTGTTCATCCTCATCAAACAGTTATAATACATTGTTTTATTGTATGTGAATTATGCATCAATTTTTTTTTAAGTAGTGGAGAGAAAAAAGACTGCTTTGGAAACCACGTGGAAAATGCTGGAAGGGGGATTGAGACTGGATGTGGAGAGATTGTAATAATGCAGCTGAGAAGTTCTAGGGACAGGATTTAAGCAGTGGAAGTGGGATTGGAAAAAAGGGGGATAGATTTCGGAATTATTGAGTTGATAGCATTGATAAAACTTTTAAAAATGATTAGATAACAGAAAAAGGATAAGGAAATGTGTGGTCATACCCTCTGGTAGTGTAAGTATAGTTGGTGAAAATTGCAAAGCAAGTTTTAAGGGGAGGTTTTGGGTGGCAAGCCATTATTATTATTGAGTTTTGGAAATGCCAGGTGGTTGTACCTCCGGGGCATCTACATGTCCGGCAGCAGAATCAACAACTGTGGGTCTGAGGCCCAGGGAGAGCCTGGGGCTGCAGATAAGGACGTGGGTCATCAGGAGTGAGCATCGCAGTTAAAATCATCATGAATGAGAAGGTGTTTGGATTAAGCAGAGTCAAAAGCTAAAAACAGAACCTTGGAAATCTTGACATTTAAAGGGCGGTAGAGAACAAGGAGCCCTTGAAAGAATCTGAGATGTTAAAATGTCACATCATGGAAGCCCAAGAAGGGGAAAGTGATCCAACAAATACTGAAGGGCCAACCTCAAATGCTGCGGGAGGCTCTGCTCCCTCAACACTCCTCTCTCCTGGGCCCCTGAAATCTCATCAGCTCCCATCTCAGGTTCCTGGAATATCTTTCTTAGAGGTCACCAGAGACCTCCATCTCTTCACAACTGGTAACCTATTCACAGCCCCATCTCTAAAATTCCCTGCAGCATTCAACCATCTCCTTGAAATTCTCTCTCCTGGCCTTTGTAACTCTGTACCTGGAGTTGTGCTTGTAACCCTCAGGGCACCCTCACCCTGGCTCCTCTACCTGCCTTGTGAACATAATCATTCCGTGAGGTCCTGTCCTGTCCTCTCTTCTTCCCTCAACAGCCACTGAAATGTCCTCTGTAGTCAGACCTGAGCTAGGTGCTGGGGATACCATTAAGTGAAACATAGGCCTGGCTCCTCCAGGGGTTGACAGTTTGGCCATAGACATAAATGAGACAGCAACACCGCCGAGCCTGTAACCACGGCACTCTGGGAGGCAAAGGCCAGTGAATTGTTTGAGCTCAGAAGTTTGAGACCAGCCTCAGCAACACTGAGACCCCATCTCTACTAAAAATAGAAAAACTAGTCAGGTGTTGGGGTGGGTGCTTGTAGTACCAGCTACGTGGAAGGCTGAGATAAGAGGATCACTTGAGCCCAAGAGGCTGCTGTGAGCTATGATGTCACAGCATTCTACCCAGACTAAGAGAGACTCTGTCTCAAAAAAAAAAAAAAAAAAAAAAGTTATCCGCAAGTTACTTTGGGAATGTAGAGGCAGCAACTGGGCCTAGAGAAGTTCGGGAAGAAACAGTAGAAAAGCACAGAGGAGGGAAGAGGATGGCATATGGTGGGGGAGGTTCCCACAAGTTTCTTGTGGTTGAATTATAGAATGTGTGGAGTTGGAGTATTGGAGATAGAGACGTGGAGAAGTAAACTGCAAAACATTATATATAATACCAACAAGTCTGTGATCCAGGGAGCCAGGTAAGGCCTTAAATAGGGGAAAGGATGGTCACATTATTTTTTTAGAAGATGACTAGCTGGACAAAGGATAGATAGACCGGGGTGGGGGGGGGGTGTTCAGGAACAGCTAGGAGGCTGTGCCAGTAATCCAAGCAAGAAACAATGAGGACCTGAATAAGGTAGCAGTGAGCATAGAGAAAAGGATGAAATTCCAGAGACCTTTCTCCTGGTGTATATAAAAGGAGGAAAGGTTAAGAGGATTTACAGTTCTTAAATGAGGACATGTAGATGGCTGGTGACTTTTTTGAACTAAAATGAAAACCACCAGAGCATAGCCTTTAGATCCGTGGTTCTCAACCTTCCTAATGCCTCAATATATTTTCATTATTACAAAGGGGTCACGACCCACAGATTGAAAACCACTGCTGGAGATGGAGGTAAGATAATAAATTAAAACTTGAGCAAACTAGTTTTGAAATTCTTATGCAATAGTCAGTGCTCTGTTTCAGTGTATGGACGGTGGCTGAAACCGTGGTGCTAGATAAGCTATTTCAGAAAGCCCATGTAGAGAAGGACCGTCAGTGGGTGCAGGTGGAACGTCAGAAAAGGACCTAAACCTCAAAGGAGACCAAAATAGAGAGAGGAAAACATAGAATGCAGAGTGTCCCAAGAACTGAGGGAGTAGTGTTAAGCATCAGAAGATTACATGTATCAACAATATCACATTCCTTTTATTTTATTTTATTTTAGAAACAGTCTCACTCTGTGCCCAGGCTAGAGTACTGTACTGTCAGAGCTTACAGCAACTTCAAACTCCTGGGTTCAAGTGAGCCTCTTGCCCCAGCCTCCCAACTAGCAGGGACCACAGGGACCTGCCACAATGCCCTGCTAGTTTTTCTATTTTTGGTAGAGATGGGGTCTTGCTCAGGTTGAAACAAAATCAAATTCTACAGAAATGAGTAGGATTACAAGTGTTCAGTGGGTGTGAGAGCTAAAAAATTTGAGCTCATAGAAGTAGAGAGCAGAATTATGATTATTAAAATCTGGGAGACATGGGGGAGATTGGAAAAAGTTGGTTAACAGGTATAAAATTACAGCTAGATAAAAGGAGTAGGTTCTAGTGTTCTACAGCAATGAGGGGGAAAATTGGTTCACAGCAATTTAGCATATATTTTCAAAAAGCTAGAAGAGAGAATTTTGAATGTTCATAAATGCAAAGAAATGATTTGAGATGGATATGCTGATTACCCTGATTCGATCTTTACACATTGTATACGTGTATATCAAAATATTACTCTGTACCCCATAAGTATGTACAATTACATGTGAACTAAAAATAAAAAAGTGTCTACTTGGTTTGGTAATTAGATCACTGGCTAACACGTCAAGATCATTTTTATTGGAGGGCAATGGAAACCTTAGTGTTGAAGTAGGAAGAGAATAAGTGGGGGAAAGATGAATACAAGAAAAAATCATTTTCAGACATGCAAAGATTCAGAAATTTTCTTTCTATATAATTTTACGAAACAATGCAGTGAATATCAAAGGGCAGCAAACAGGAAGACATGGGATCTGATTTAAAAAACGAAAACAGTGCTCGCTTCAGCAGCATATATACTAAAATTGGAATGATACAGAGATTAGCATGGCCTCTGCGCAAGGATCGCATGCAAATATGTGAAGCGGTCCATATTTAAATAATTAAATAACAAAAACAAAAAAACCCAGAGCCAGGCCAGGATGAAAGTTGTGCAGCAGGTGCACTGAATATTGTGTCTTCAATTGACCATTTAACAGGAAAATTAGGGATCTTGACAATCTCACCATAAGATGGAGAACACATATATTTCTACTTCTTTAAAAAGGAAGGCAACAAGAAACCTCATAAGGATAAGGAAAAATCTGAGCAAGAAGTCATGGACCAAATATGATTTTGAGCAATCTGATGAAAAAAAAAATCTATAGACTTAAACTTTCTCTGCCCAGCAACATGAGTTTCGTGAAATAGCACTGCATCCCTTTCTGCCATGATGTAATCACGCCACCCTGTGTTGCAGTACATATAACCACATATAAATGCTGATTATTGGCCTTCAAGTTTTAGTTTGAATTTATGAGCAATTTTGCAAAGCATGCAGAACTTTGTGTAGTTTCATAACAGAATCCAAATTATTTAAACCTTGACATGGAAAAAAGTATTAGTATCTCTAACCAAAGCTGAAATGCTGAGAAGGATAATAGTTAACATTTACTGAATCCAGACTGTGTTCTAGTTGCTATTCTAAGCCTTTTACAGGTTATCGCATTTATGATGATGCTATGAGTTAAGTGTTATTTTTATTCCCATTTCCAAGTAAGGAAACTGAGGTATAGAGGGGTCACACAGCTAGGACATGGAAGCACAGAGACTGGTACCCTGGCTGTCTGGCTCCAGAGCCTATACCTGCGCTCTGCCGTCCCACCTCTACAAGAGAGGTGGGGAGGAATATAAGGTGCCAACATGCTCAGGGGCACGAGATCCTAAGCCCAGTTGTGTTATAAGACAAGATGTTTAAGTGAATTTTGGAAAGTAACCTGAGATGGTTGCCTCTGTAGGTGAGGTTTAGAGATAGGAAACTTAGATAGAAACTTTTACTTTCTGCCATTATATAAACTTCTGACCCATTTGAATTGTTATTACTTGTTGCATGGATTACTTTTATAATTTAAAAATCATGCCTCCTCCTCCAAGGCCTTATCAAAAAGCTTCTCTAATTCCCTGAGAGCAGAATGGCCTCTCCATCCTCTGAGCTGCTCCCCTCCTTAGAACCCACGACTTCCGACTTTAATAAAGTTGCCCTTGAGAATGTCGTGAAGACTGAGCTGGTCAGATTTTTCTGGCTCGTCTCCATAGCCTTGGTGCCGGGCTTTGTCTGTGGTAGGTGCTGTCAGTCAATGCTTAACGAGCTGAATGAGTGGATTTTGCTAATGCCAGACTATATCCATTTCCTACAATTCGGGGAACCTGGAAGACATAGCTTAGGTATGTCCAGGTGGCAGTTATCTTGCTGCTGTATGTTTCATTCATTTCATTCATTCAAGAAGCATTTCTTGAGCACCTGCTCTAGGTGCTGAGGGGACAGCAGTAAACAGATCTTGAGATGAAATCTCTGCTCTCAAGCAGCTTACATTCCAGTGGGGGAGATACTTAACAAATCATTTGTAAAAATCACACAGATGGTGAGACATACTGTGAGGAAAATAAAGCAGGTGAAGGAGATGGGAAACTGGGCAGGGGGTGCTAGTTTAATCAGGATGTCAAGGGAGGCCTTGTTCATAAGGTGACATTTGAGGAAAGACGTGAGGTGAGAGGATCAAGACCTGCACACCCGAGAGAAGAGCGTTCTAGGTAGAGAAAGGGCCCAGAGGAGGGAGGGCTCGGCGTGTTTAAAGACTAGAGTCAGCACAGCTGAAGAGCCACAGGCAGAGGAGGGAGGGAGGAAAAGCTGGCCAGGCGGACAGAAGCTTGAAGCCTTCATACACCAGCCAGAAAGGGCCGCAGGTGAGAGTCTCACCTGACTTGGGTTTTCTGCCCTGTGGCGGATGGTGAGGGTAGATAGGGAGATGGTTAGGGGTCCATTGCAGTAATCCAGCTGAGAGACAACAGGGCCTTGGCCCAGGGTGAGAGAGGCAGTGAGAAGTGATAAGGTTTGGGGTGTATTATGAACACAGAACTGGCAGATTTGCTAACAGATTGAATGTGGAGCATGAAAGGGAGGAGTCAAGGGTGACTCCCAGGCTTGTGGGTCTGAGAACCTGGAAGGATGGAGTTGTATCCTTGGATGGGAAAGGCTGTGCTGGGCAGATGAGACAGCTAAGTGGAGAGGAGCGGTGGGTGGTTGGAGCCGCAAGTCTAGAGTTAAGGGCAGCAGTTGAGGGTAAAGATGTCCATTTGGGAGTCAGCAACAAATAGACATGCACTACCTACCAGCCATATAGTAGCCACTAGACACGGATGGCTCTTTAAATTCAAAGTGATTTCAAATTAAGTAAAATTTAAAATTGTACCAGCCATATTGCAAGTGCTCAGTAGCCACAAGTGACCAGGGGCTGCCATATTGGACAGTGCAGGTATAGAACATTTGTACCATCCCAGGAAGTTCTACTGGACAGCGCTGATAGGTCTTGAGACTGACTGAGATTTCCAGGGCAGTGGGTAGAGAAAAGTGAGCACTTAGAAGCTGGCTAGAGGCAGAGGAGGAGCTTGTAAGGGAGAAGGAAAGTCCAGGGGAGGGTGGATTCCTACAAGCCTGTGAAGAAAGGATGTTGGACAGGAGGGAGTCATTAGATCAGATGCTGCTATTAGTTGAGGACTGAGAATTAACCAGTAGATTCAACAAGAACTTTGCTGGTGACCTCGATGAGATCAGTGAGGAAGCAGGGGTAAAAGCTTGAGTGGAGTAGTGGATTCAGGAGAGAATAAGGAGAGAGGAATTGGAGGCACCATGTGTGCCCACCTTTTCAAGTGATTATGAAACAGAGAGATAGGGTGTGTGAGGGGTGTGTGATGTTAAGGGATGTTTTAGGATGGGAGGAATAATATAGCATGGGGGCTTGGTGCCCGTAGCACAGTGGTTATAGTGCCAGCCACATACCCTGAGGCTGGCGGGTTTGAGCCTGGCCTGGGCCAGCTGAACAGCAATGACAACTGCAACAAAAAAAATAGCCAGGCATCATGGCGGGCACCTGTAGTCCCAGTTACTTGGGAGGCTGAGGCAAGAGAATCACTTAAGCCCAAGAGTTAGAGGTTGCTATGGGCTGTGACACCACAGCACTCTACTGAGGGCAACATAGTGAGACTCTGTCTCAAAAAATAAAAAATAAAATAAATAAGTAAATATTTTTTAAAAAGTAATACAGCATGTTGAAAGCACTTGGGACTAAAGAAGAACAAATTGATAATGCAAGGGGGCAGCTGAGAGAACCGTGTTCTTGAGTAGGCAAGGGGCAGATGGGATCTAACCCCGAGCAGCAGGGTGGTCCTTGGGTAGGATGCAGGTGATTCATCCATAGAATGGAGGGAAGGCAGAGTCAGTGAGGAGGTGGCCTGCTGGTAAGAGCATGTGAAGGTGCTCCCATGGCTGCCTCGATTTCCTCAGGGAATAAAGGAGGAGGGTCATCAGCTGCGCGTCTGATCAGAGGCATTGGAGGTGTGAGGGAAGAGAAGGTGTAAAGTAGTCATCTGGGAAAGAGGGGATGGCTGGGAGAAGGGGATGGAAGTAGGATTCCTGGGCTGCACCAAGGGCCTGTGCCCTTGTGTTCCTACCAGAGGCAGCTTCAAGTATTTGTCCTGACCCACGCCTGTAATCCAGCACTCTGGGAGGCCGAGGCAGGTGGACTGTTCGAGCTTAGGAGTTCAAGACCAGCCTGAGTAAGAATGAGGCCCGGACTCTATTAAAAATAGAAAAACTAGCCAGGCAGCTATTGCGGGTCCCTATAATCCCAGCTACTTGGGAGGCTGAGGCAGGAGGATCGCTTGAGCCTAAGAGTTTGAGGTTGCTGTGAGCTAGGTTGACACCACGGCACTCTAGTGTGGGCGAAAAAGTAAGACTTTGTCTCAAAAAAATAAAAAACAAAAAAAGGAAAGAAAAGAATTTATCCCGTTTTCCTCTGTGTTTTCAAATATACAGCTTTTTCTTATTGGAAGTTTCATTCCCACTCCCGACCCCCTTGTCAGCCCAGAAAACTCATCATCTTCCAGGGCTCAGCCTGGGGGTGACCCCTCCGAGGCTCCCCTGGCACCTTCTGTCTTTCTTCTGCCTGGAGTCCCCCCATTTCTTGCCTGTCTCTTGGAGCCCTGATCATGTCACATTGCCATTATTTGCTGACATGTCTACTACCCTAAGGCAGGGGTCAGTGAACATTTTCTGTAAAGAGCCAGATAGGGAATGTTTTAGGTTTTGTGGGCCACCCAGTCTCTGCCACACCATTCAATCTTCCACCATAGTCCAAACGCAGCCAAGCAATTTATGGGAGACAGAGCATGGCTGTGTTCCAATAAAACGCTACTTACAAAAACAGGCAGGGGTCTGGGTTTGGCCTGCAGGCCATAGTTTGCTCAAAGAGATGGCAGGGATGATGTCTCAATTATTGCCATAGCCCCCATACCTGGTGAGATCTGGGTACCAGATAGGAGCTCTGAAAAAGTTGGAATGGATGAGGGATGAATGGATGTGTTAGATTAAGTGTTTAGGCCAGCCAGAGAGTATACGTCACAGGCAACGTTCCCTCACATTGTTCTGGCATATTTGTCAATAGAAAGTCTTATTACAGTCACATTGTATGTAGGGAAAGCTTGTGAATGGAAACATGAGCCCTGGATACCCAGAGAAGATCAAAGATGGCCTCACTCTCTGCCGCATTAGTGCTAAGCTCCTGCCCTGTCTGGGAGACCTCTCTCCTGCTCCTTCCCAGGTGTACAAGCCCCCACCTCAGTGGGACTAGGCTCTCCACAAATAAGCCCTGTTTTCACCTGCCATCTTCCTCCCACCCCAGGCCCAGTACCTTCCATGTGCAGGGCATGGTGGGAGGATCACTGACCCCTTCCAGCAGGAGCTCACCGTCACTCTATCCCACCGGCAATGCCCTATGCCCAACCCACGTCATATGCATGACTGATCTCCTCCCCAAAGCTTCCTGTGACTCCCCCAACCCACAC